CCAAAGATAGAACATCCACTTGTTATGAGAAAGCTGCCTGAGAACTCTGATGTGCAAGGCTCTCAAGGCCTTCATGTTTGTCACCTTTACTTGTAATTAAAAATAACCTGAGAACCTCTGCTGTTCACAGAAGCAGGCTGTGAGAATCTGCTCCTCACAGCTGCCTTCTAGGCCATCCCTGAAAAAATCTCCAACAGTTGTGCAAGTCTGAGATTTATTCAGACCAGTCAGATGTTTGGTTTAATAATCCACATTATTTCTGTTGTTTCAGTAGTCTGGTTTTCTGTGGCGCTTTCAGCTGTGTCACAAGTATGCAGGGATGTCAGGAGGGCTGAGTTGCTACAGGACTCACTGTGGGAGCATCAGAGTGCTAAATCCCAGTCTAGTTACTCACGGGCTTCATCTGGGCATCCTCTTGTTCTCAATCACAAGCAGGTGCAATGAATTATCCAGGTGTTCAAGGTGCTGTGTCGGTGAAATTTGTTAAAATCCAGTATCCAGACGTGCCTGCTTCCCTTCCCTCAGGCACCTAACACTGGTGCCACATCCCGGGGTGATGGCAGGCGGAGACACCCATGGGAATGAGGAGCTTTGCAGGCTGGGGATGAGTCACTCCAGAGGCTGGGAATGAGCTGGCCAGCAGTGGTAGGTCAGAGGAGACCTGATGGCCACAGCAGACCACAATTAAAGCAGGAATCCATCGGTGTGGCTATGGCAAAGTGAGCCAGTACACACAGATGGGATCTGGTCTACCAAACTGTTAGAAATGTAAAGTAGTCAGTCAACATCCTTGGACTTGGACTCTCTGTGAGGTCCTGGCTCCTGGTAGGAGAAATTCAAGAGGAGCTGTGAGATAGTAGTGATGGCTAGGAAGGGATGAAAGTGAAAAGCAAGGAGTTGGGCTCATTTGGTGTAGAGAGAGATGCAGGACCCTCAGTGGTGCATCTTGGAGGGTGGTGAAACACGGGAGGGTGTGAGTGCAGGGAAATGATGCAGGAGCACTGCAGCTGGCCACGCTCTCACCTACACCAAGCTCAAAGAGCTCATCATCCATCCTCTCAGACATGTAATTTCAGAGTCTGCTAGCTCAGGCTAATTGCTCCTGGAACGGGCTTGTTCCTCCCTTGCAGCAGCAGCGGCATCCCGGACGTCCTGCCCTTCCCTCTGCCAGACCTGGGGAATAACTGCAAAGGGAGAAAAAGGCCCATTAACCTTTGCTGTCCGCCTTTTCTTGCTGTCATCCAGTTGGTGTTTGCCTTGATGGCGATAATTACACAGAAGTATGTAATTGCAAGACAAATGTTTAATTAAGAGCAGGTTTGTTGCTAGTCTCTTGTCTGCTTCCATCTGGGAAGAGCGTGGTTGTGCCGGTTGTCTTGGCAGCCCGGATCGAAGGTCTAATGAGCCCGTTCTGCACCCTTGCTAAAGAGGAAGGAAATAAATGAAATTAATGCATTAATGGGA